TTTAACTGGTACTTTACTCTTGTACGTATGGGGTGCTAACGTTCTGGTTGGCTCAAGGGGATGAGCACGGAAATCTCATTGTGCATATTTCGAGAACACATTAATCGAAAAACATTTTAAGACAATAATTATTTCGCTTTCTGTATTTTAACTGATACTTTAATCTTATATCAGTAGTATGTAGATCTTTTTTTGCGTATATCTTTTAAACTATTATAGATAAACTAATTTTGTTTAAGGCATTTAAAAGCACATAAAGAGCACATAATTCTAGCATATTGAGTTTTTTATTTTATATGTAATTTTAAAGAGGGGGGTGCTAGCTTACGTTAAGCCAGCACCCACACTTTCAATTGCGATTTCCCGCGAAACTGCTCGAGCACAAAAATCGCGAATAGAGCACATAATTAGCACATAAAGAGCACTTAATTTCTACATATGTGTTATTCCGTTTTTTTGTGGGGGGAGGTGCTAACTTAACAGACATCTCACATTCTGCAGACGTTAACAAACATCCTGCCATCATTCAACGCGGCACCCCAGGAATGGCCACATCTCACCAAGTTAACCTTGGCTGATCTAGATTTTCTGACACCACGGCCAGTAGATATCATCATTGGAGCTGACTCATATGGACAGATCATTAAGCCCAACATCATCAAACAAGATCCATTGATGCCAATTGCACAGCTCTCAATTTTTGGATAGCTCGTTCTCGGACCTGTTAATACATCATCATCGGCAATTGCCACCGTGCATCATGCCTCCGTTCAGGAGGGAGAAGATGCTCTTGACGACTTGCTGGCGAAATCTGGACACAAGAAGAAGTGCCTGCGAGCAACAATCTTGATCTTACTCCTGACGAGCAAAGATGTGAAGAACATTTCAAGAGTACTGTTTCACGGGATTCAACAGGTCGATACACAGTTCGACTTACACTGAAATCATCACTTGATACTCTTGGCGATTCGTATCTCACTGCGCATTTTACAAAGAAGACTCACGAGATGACAATTGTCGACGTCTGTATCATCAGTTTATGATACTCTATCGAGAGCTCAATCACATGAAGAAGGCTTCACCCGTTTCCAGTCAGCTCACACAATATTACTTGCCCCATTAAGGAGTGCTCAAACCAGACAGTGCAATCACTAAATTACGTGTGGTATTTAATGGCTCGAGTGCATCTACATTCAGCCGCTCACTTAATGATCTCATGCACACAGGAGCCAAGCTGTATTTCGACATCACCGATGTCTTGCTCTGGATTCGACAAGTTCGGCACTTAGTTGCCATTGACATCACCAAAGGGTATAGGCAGATCAACGTGCATGAAGATGACTGAAATTTACAACGGACTCTCTGGATCGATGAACAACTCAATGAAGTGCCATATCATCTAACAACGGTCGATATGTTGATGACAATTTTGGAGGCGACGACACCGTTCAGCAGGTAGTCAATACTGCTCAACGGACTTATGCATGGCGGGCGGCTTCCCATTAGCAAGCTGGCACTCGACTCATCAAGACGTACTCACTGCGATTCAAGCAGAAAAGGACCAGGGCTCACAAACTACATTGACGATTGCGTAACCAAAAGACTCGGATTACGATGGCTTCCTCAAGAAGATTCATTCACATTCTTAACAAGGATCTCGTCGCACACCAATCATTTCACAAAACGCCTTGCTTGGTCTGAAGTGGCTCAGATACTCGATCCATTGGGCTTTGTATCACCAGTGGTGATCAAGGCGAAGATGCTCTTGCAAGAGTTTTGGCTACATGAAGCTCCAATGGGATGAACCACTGCCATCCCAGCTCTCATCACGGTGGCTCATTATCAGAAAAGAACTCACAAGCTTGATCAAGCTCTCAATACCTCGGTGGTACAACCAAGGTAGCACCTCTCAAATCACATGGAGCACCTCGTCAGTAGAATTTCACGGCTTTTTTTATACTTCTCAACTGGCAATGGCTGCAGTCGTATTTATCACCGTCCACGGCTCTAATGGCGCCACGGTTTCATTGGTGTACTCCAAAACTAAGGTAGCACCACTCAAACGACTCACCATCCCGAGACTTGAACTCACCGCAGCACTGCTGCTTTCAAGACTCATGCAATACGTTCAAGCCACCTTGAAGTTGAACGTTACAGCAACTCACCTGTGGACGGACTCGGTTGTGACACTCACGTGGATCAAATCTCATGCATCGCGCTGGAAGAATTTTGTGAGAAATCGAGTTTCTCAAATTCAAAAGCTCACTGCGAATGCACATTGGAAATACGTACGAGGTACGTCCAACCCAGCCGACTGCGCATCACGAGGATTAAGTACTGCTCAACTTCAAAGCCACTCATTATGGTGGACGGGACCACCGTGGATTCTCACACTTGAAGCATGGCCATCACAACCCGCGCTTCCGGACGAGTTGAACGGTCATGAGGCTCGTCCTGGCATTGCTCTATATGCAGCTGCATCTCAGCCGGACTATCATTGGGATCTCATATACAAGTACTCAACCCTAAATTATTGAAAATAACAGCTCTCTATTTCAGGTTTATCGCTCTCTTGAGAGGGTTCTGGGACGGGTCGTTGGACTCGCACTCTGCTTTGGAGAAGGCCAGATTTTTCTGGATCAAGGCTACTCAAGCGGCATACTTCACGTACGAGATCAAGATACTCACGGCCAACTCGAGACTACCAACTGCTCACGCATTCAGTCGATTGACTGCGTACATAGACGCTCAAGGACTCATCCGAGTTGGCGGCCGTCTCAATCAACCAACATTGGATCAAGACAACAAACATCAGACGATTTTACCTCGCCACTCACGGTTCTCAACCTCAATCATCGCCCACGCCCATTTGCGCACCCTGAATGGAGGAACATTGCTGACATCGGCTCATGTCAAACAACAATAATGGATCATTGGCGGACGGGCTCCGGTGAAGTCTCATACCTCACGGTGTGTCGAGTGCTCGGCAGAGGGGGATCCGTGCCCATCAACTGATAAGCCAACTACCTTTCTCTCGGGTTACGCCGTCACGTCCGTTTGCTCATACAGAAGTCGACTATGCCAGACCGCTCACTATCAAAACATGGAAGGGACAAGGTCCAAAAACATACAAGGGATGGATCTGTGTTCGTCTGCTTCTTCACCTCCGCAATTCACCTCGAAGTAGTCAGTGACTACTCATCAGAAGGATACATAGCAGCATTCCGAAGATTCTCAGTTAGAAGGGAAATTGCTCAGACCATGTATTCGGACTGCGGGACAACATTCATTGGAGCAGACGCCGCGCTCAAGAAAATATTCATCCAGGGCTCTCAAGAGTATCACGGATTGCTAAAGGTTCGCAACTCAACCCACCAGGCGCTCCACACATGGAAGGCAAGTGGGAGGCGGTAGTAAAGTCTGAAGTTTTATCTGAGACGGACTATCGGGGAGGCTCTACTCACGACAGAAGAACTCACAACGTTGCTTACGCAAATCAAGGACATTCTCAACTCGCGGCACTTAGAACCGCTGAGTGACGACCCTGAAGACGTCTCAGCGCTCACACCAGGTCATTCCTCATTGGAGGTCCAATCATTACCATGCCCGAGCCATCTCTGATTGACCTAGCAACCTCACAACTATCTCGGTGGCAGCTCATTTAGCAGCATGTTCAACATGTTTGGGCACGATGGTCGGCTCATTATCTGCAACGCCAGCAGGCGATATCCAAATGGCATCATCCTAACAACAGCATCAAGGTGGGTTCCATCGTGCTGCTCACCGATGAACGCTCTCCACCGTGCAAGTAGCCACTCGCCAGAGTAACGGACCTGCACCCCGGCAAGGATAGACTCACTAGGGTGGTTACCCTTAAGACGGCCACCACGAAACTCACTCGGCCAATCTCAGAATAAAGGATCAAGAGTAAGGAATCATCAACAAGGTTGCTGATGGCGGGCGGAATGTTCGAGATTCCGTTAACGTTGCGCCGTCCGATCAGATGGCAGCATCAATCGGGTATCGACGCCCGACCACCGCGACAGCTGGCGCACGCACGGGCGCGCTCATCGCCAACGTCTTTCTCGCGATATTCAGAGTCGTACAAATGGCCGCGCGGTGATCAGACGCACGACGTGTGCTCTGTGCATTTTTGATTGTGACTACACATTGAAATGCCCACCGCAGTGATTACAGCTGCCGAGATACTGCATTAACATGTAAAGCGACCGCTCATCCAGCTCTACTCGGGTACATCAACACGACGACTCAGGCTCACATGTGCGCGAGTGCCGACCGCCACGTGTCTTACCGGCTCACGGGCTAATCATCACGAGGAGGGCAGTTAATATAACTGCCTCGCCTACTCAAGAACGATATACAAAGACTTCTTATGTTTAGTGAACTCCGAAAGACTGCCCACCACTCTCAGGTCAGACTGTATATATCTATTCTCGCATTAAAGACGGCTCAGACTGTGTTCTGAGTTACATTTTATATTACAGAATAATTAATTAACACCTTCCACGCGCGTCCTTCTCATCCCGCTTCCATCGCCGGGATTAATCAGCGATTTCGCGAACACAAGGCCTTCAGCCAATGAGAGCGCAGAGCGCAATTTTCTATCGCGAGAGCGTATGAACGACTAATGAGAAGCGAGCATGGTTCGATACAGCGAGATTCGTCCTACAACGCGATATTTGCATTATATAATTGATTTTATGTTTTTCCCTGTCGAAACAATTTATATTACTTATTATCCATTGTATGCGATACTTATATTATATACCTACCGTTTGGATACTTACCGACGACACTTTCCAATCCATTGATTGGGCGAGACGATCCCACGAAGTCCCGTTACCTGAAAAAAAAGAGAATTAAAATAATTGATTCTAGTAAATAAAAATACTTACCTGGCAACAAAAGGGAACGTCACCGTGATCATACACGGTCACTCGGAAACGTTCCGAGTGACTTGTCGCGAACTTGCACATCGTGCAAATTGCGACGGCTGGCATTGGTTGCCGCATCGCCGAGGTCGAAGCGAGAGCCCTTGTCCGCCGTCCAATCCCGTTTCAGTATCTCAGTCAGATTGGAGCTGAGCCAATGAGAACGGCTCAGCGCACGGGAAGTGATGCATCGTTACGAGAGGGATTGTGTCGCTCGTCACCAAGCGATACGATTGTCTAGGATAGATTAGCGCGCGATATACATCATGTTCGCGCGTAAAAGAAAAACTTTACGCCTGCGCAAGCATCAAGGTGAGAGAACTCGACCGGTTCCTCCCGGACAGTCCGCCGTGAACCTTTGACACGCCAACACGCGGCGTTTAACAATTCGAATCCGGTGCACTTATCCCGTAGCCGTATACGATAAGTACGTGAACGATAACCACGCGAAACGGTAATTAGCCGTAAATAGCTCTTCGACGACGGTACATAAGAGTTCGTTACAAGTCGTAGCAAGGTAGTGCGCGATAGAACCTGTCCGTTCGTGTACGGAGATACTGTAAACTTTGAATTATTAAATTGTTATTTGTTTATAATAAACAAAGACTCATTATTCGCGACCCCAGTGAATATCCTGTCCGATTATCCGTATATTACGTGCGCTTAACAAGGGCGTGGCCGACGGCCTTGAACACGTCCGCGACGTAGGAAACAGCAGCCATTACGCTGGAAGGAAGGACGGGGCAACGCATACAACCAGGGTTTCTGTATTTATCCAGGAAAATACAGTGGCGACCGTAATTTCAGCCCAAGTAATAAGTGGCTATAATTTCAAATTTTATAACATCAATCGTTGTTCCGGTCACAACATTACGTATCACAACAGTCCTCACGCCGAGGCGACAGAAAACGTAATCCAAAGACGAAAGACACACGATAGGTCAAACATAGGGATGCTTTGATCCCCGAGAGAAGCTATCTCTAGTCAAATGGCGAAACGCTTATGCGCCGCCATTTCACCACCTCGGAGACCCCTCACGATAGCGGGTGCGACGCCTATCTACAGCCGCATCAGAGGGATCACTTCATCGGCTACGAGGATAGTTCGCTCGAGGAAGTCCACACCCCCTAGACTACACCTACACGAGCCATCACAGGACGTGTACAAACTATACGAACAGGAAACACCCTCTATCCGGAGAGGGATTCCATATACACAATGCACAAGCACGAATCTACGTGCTTGTCTATACAAGAAGGATACATGAACCCTTCACCAAACAAACGGACTCGAGTCGACGAGTGCGTAAAAATAGCGCGAACGCGGGGCCCAGGGGAAGGGCACAAAGAACATCAAAGAAGGGGAAATCCCCGCCGCCGGCCACGGAAACCCTCCAAGGGACGGCCAACCGCGGACCGCCGCCACAAAGAAACTGCCAACACCTATTGCGAAGCAATGGGGCCGGAGCCGCAAACAGCAGGGAGCGGCAAGCCATGGCCGATCAACCCCAGGAAGACCTCGCAGTCCAAACGACGAAAACCCCCAAGACAGACATGAACACGAAACGCGGCAGCACCCGACAGGGCCCAAAAAACGAGGACGGACGCCGACCGCCCCCAGGCCATCAGCCCCCCAGGGATCTGAAAGCATCGCACTAGGCGATGCGCCGGACCCCAGGAGGAGAGCAGCCCGCCACCGGCCGGCGCCCGACACCCCCGGACCATGCCAGGAGCAACACTCCGCGGACGTGAAAAACGAAGATCCGAATATCGGACCAGATGCCCGTGGGCCGGAATGAGCACCAATGGCGGAAACTTCGTAGGGAATCCGCCCAGGCCACCCCAAACCACCGCGCGCGACATCATCCACCCACCCCCATAAGGAAGTGGGCAGATGCACAGGGGGAAGAGGAACCGCCGCCCGGAGACCCCCCCGGTCAGCTAGCGGCCCACGTCCTTTCAGTCCTTCCTGCGAGTTCCTCTAAATAAAACAAGAATAAAATAAATAAACAAAACATAAAAAAATTCAACCCCTTGCGGGCCGGAGGGAGCACCAGTGACGAAGACCCCGTAGGGAGTCCGCCCAAGCCCCCCCCCCGTACCGCCGTGCCTAACATTATCCACTCACCTCCATGCCGAAAGTAGATGGACACACAGGGGGAGGAGGAATCACCGTCCAAAGGCTACCCTATGGTCTAGCCGGCGGCCCACGTCTCCCTGATCCCCCCTGCGAACGCTTAGTGCAGCCCCCCCCCCCCCCCCCCCCACCCCCCCCCCCAAGCCCCCCCCTGGGCCCGGCCGGGGCCCCCCGCCCCCCCGACCCCCCCGCGGACCGCTTTGGCCCGCCCCCCCCCCCCCCAGCCAATGCCCAACCGGGAACCCCAAGTCCACGCAGAGCGGGCACTTGGAGCCCTCGCAGTGCAAAGGCCGGCCTGATGGGATCCCTCACCGCAGCGATAGCACTTATCACTACGGTCCACCGGGGCAGTGCACCGTGCCCGAACGTGACCCACGTCCAGGCAGCGGTAGCACCGCAGGGGACGGGCCTGAAGCGACTCCACGCTAGCCCTACTCCATCCCACCGTAAGTCCCTTCCTAATTATTTTCAAGGCGGCGCACGCCGGACAGCTTGCCTACGCAAACCCCGTTCCAAAGGCCAGACCTCTAATGGGACCCACCCTAATGTCCCCAATGGGGCATTCCCCGACAGAAAAAATCGCGGACGCGACGTCCTCACGAGTAACAGCGTCGTCCAAGCCCCCCACACGAAACTCCGTGCATTTGAAGGGCCTGGAAACCCGCACTTCTTTTTCACCCAAAACTGATTGAAGCCTCTTGGCTAAAAAATCAGCCTTCTTTTCCGATCCAACCCCGGGAACTTCCAACAAAAGACCCCCAATGACCGCCCTCTTAAATCTAAGGGAGATGTTTTTTTTCGCGGTTTTCAGAGTCTCCGCGTAAGTCACGGTTCCCC